GCCATACTGGACGTGGGCTATGTCACCACCACCATGCCTCAGATGCTGGTGCACCTTCTTGCTCGCTCTCAGACTATCTCTTTTGCTTGCTGTTGGCTGCAGATGTATGCGTTTGGTGCCCTGGCCCTGAGTGAGTGCATCATCTTTGTGGTCATGGCCTATGACCGATATGTGGCCATTTGTTACCCATTGCGCTACACTGTTATCCTCAGCTGGGGAAAGTGCACACGACTGGCAACTGGGACCTGTGTTTGTGGTTTCTTCTTCTCTCTAATTCACACCTACCTCACAATGAGGTTGCCCTACTGTGGACCCAATATCGTCAACCACTACTTCTGTGAAGGTCCCTCAGTACGAAGCTTAGCTTGCATGGATACCCACCTCATTGAGATGGTGGAACTGGTCATCAGTGTGCTTTGGAATGTCACTCCAAGTTGCCTTATTCTGGCCTCTTATATCCGTATTGTCCAGGCCATTCTCAAGATCAAATCGACCAAGGGACGTTGCAAGACCTTCTCTACCTGTGCTTCCCACCTGACTGTGGCCACATGCTTCTATGCTCCAGCTACATACATCTACCTTAGGCCTAACTCCAGCTACTCCCCTGAACGTGACAAGAAAATTACACTCTTCTATAATGTTTTCACAGCTCTGCTCAATCCTGTTGTCTACAGTCTGAGGAACAAGGACATCAAAGGAGCTTTTCTCAAGGTGATGGGGTGTGGTAGGGGTGCCAGTTGAACTGGGATGGTCACGGGGCCTTGGGTAGACTGTTCAATGCTTAGGAAAAGGTCAATATCCAATGTTTTGGACACACATTTTACCTTTGAACATTGTACATTTTTTCAATATGTCCAGTGGAACCATTATAGAACATGGAAGCAATATGGGTATTTTGATCAACTTGCTCCATTGTGATGTAATAACAAGCAACTTCATAATCTCAGTAGCTTCTGACAGCAGTCTCGTATATTCTTGTTCCAAGTCAGTTTGAGGTCGACTGTAAACCTTATTTAACCTTGGCTTCTGGCTGAAGAAAGAGCCCTACTTGAAACATTCCATTATTGTGACAGAAGATAAGAAAATAAAGTTAAATAAATGATGACTCTTTGAGTGTCTGCCCTTAAGTGACACACATCCCTTTGTTCTCACCCTATTGGAAAAATAAGTCATGCAGTCAGGTCTGATGGATATATAATCATTCTACATTGATAATAGCAAATTGTAGCTTAACAATTCAATTATTAACAATGGAGCAGTCACCAATGGAGTATATGCAAACAACATGAAACATGATGAACTTTCACGTGGAATAGTATGTGTGCTAAGCCAGTTTGTCCAGAGAAACAAGTTAAGTGACACTCATATAAGTATAAAAAAGTGTATTATATCAAGAAGTAATTATATATCAAGAAAGCATCCCATCATAGTCCAACTCAAGTCCATGAGTTCAATACTAGTCCATACGTCCTTCTTCAGACTCCTGAAACCACATG